AAAAAGGTATTTTTCTGATTAGTACGAATAAATAAAATTCAGTACAAGTTAATAGTTCAGAGGGAATTCGAGATACAGAAGGTTTGAGTTAAATTAAATAGCATGGTACAGTCTACTGCGGTGAACTAATCAGTTTTTTAACTGAACATGTAGAAATCAATGATGTGCGTTCATTTCTCTTTTCTGCTTAGAAAATCCTGCAAAAATCTTGACAATACATTGGATATCACCCTTACAGAATCGAAGTGGAGTCCTGCGAGGTGCAACCAGAAAATATTTTCCAATTAGAAACCATTGAAATTCTGAGAAGAGCTTGACATAAAGTCAATGCAAAATGACTCAGAATTTCTTTAAGATTTTGTTCTAATCATAACAGAATCGTGTTTATTTCTTGCCTACACGTTTTTCTGAGGATTTGATCCTCTATTAACATATTTCTTGTTTCAATTGCGTTGGTAAACTGCTCAGGATACTGATAGAATCCTGTTATGAATCTTGTCGAGGTCTTGAAATTCCGTGGCTACACGGCTTTCTCAAGATTTAGCAGCTTTTTCGACGATATATCATTGGGAAACAGCAATAAATTGTTACGATCTTGATTGAATCTCAATTAAAATTCTATCGGCTTCTTAAAATTTTATGGGTACACACTTTTTTCCGTTTTTCGCATTTCCCCGGAAAAAATGGTAAACCTGTGCAGCGCCGTTGCTGCCTATGTCAGAAATCTAGCTCAAAAAGACTTGAGCTTTTCTCTAGCAAAAATTCAACACTATCTAGTACAACCGTTTGAAATCCAGAAGAATTCAGCAGAAATTAACAAGCATCATAATAATCTGAAACCAATCAGGAACACCTGAATCTTGATGGATCTTATTCTATCGTACAAACCGCAGAACTCATTCAGATACTCAAAAGTTCATCGGGGCCCACCAGGCTCTCAATCTCCGAGATTTCTTTTTTCTTTGTTTTCAAAAATTCTAGGGCCAATTCTTCGTCTGTTTACTATGTGTCCATGTATTCTAATGGCTTCGAATGGAGCCCAATAGATCGTGGGATGTCTCAAGGCCCCTTTTTCCTTTGTAAAGTAGACTAGTCATAGTTGGATAAATAACACATGGTACTCACATTGATTCATCCAGAACATATTTTGAATTATTCATCCTTATTTTAGGAATCTGGTTGATTTCCTTGCTTTTGTGGCTATTTAGAACATTAATCTATCTTGATAAATCATAATGAGTTTCAATGGATTCTGGTAGATCCTATGGATCCTGATGGATCCCAGGATCCAATAGGATCCGTCTTTTGCCCCTTGTACTGATCATTCCATTTCGAATTCCCGGTCACACTTTCCAATTTCCCTGTTTTTTTTAATTACTATCTCCTGGTTAAAAAGGATTACGAACTTCCGTCAAAAATGTTTTAAGGCAAAAAATCATTTTCGAACACCGGAACACGTGTCCGAAGTTCGGAATGAGCTGATGCGAAATGTCTGCCACCCTTTTACAAATCGTTGTCCAAAGTTACAAAGACTGTTTCGAACAAAAGAGAATTAACTGGAGCATCGTTGATTTTATAAGTTGAGTTTCATTATTCATTAAAGGAATAAGACAGCAATGAATTTAGAAAACAAGTTATTTCTTGATAATCATTGATAAATTTGGACAATTGCGTCATGCATTTTCAGGTGTGGGTGTGCATGCGGATTTGCTTGTATCCTGATATTCTTCGATACCCACACCTGTAGCCATACCGACATCCCGCCCTGTGACGGCGATGTCGCACATATACATATTTCAATTTTATGGTCCTCCTTCATTGTCTTTCATCTCTGATCCCTATTGGTACTACCTTTTCTTTCGTTCTTTACATATGTTTTGTTTATTACTCGTTTTTGCTGAGATAAAAGTCCTTGTAAGCGCATCAAGATGTAAATAGCATCGAAGTAAAAATAATGTCAAGAAATAACAATTCCTACAAACATATAATACCGCCTCTTTCATAGTAGGAAGATCATTATGTCTGAATGTGTTTAGTATTTAGTCGTTGGATTTTATCGTAATATCTGTGTATATGTTTGCTACAAAAATTAAATCAAATTCTACCAAAATCTATTTTTAGATTTTTTTATTAATTAAAAACTCTGTTGGTACTTTATAAAAATAAAATATTTTACTTAACTGATTAAAAATTTAAAAGACCAATTTTGCTATAGTATAATAAATCTAATGTCAATTTTATTCATCTTTTTACTGATCAACTACTGCTATGCAGCTGAGGTAAGAGTTTGTCGATTTTCAATTTATATAGATTCTATTTCGTAAATTCGAAGATAGTTCTCTAAAAGATAAGTAAAAAGTTTCTCAAAGGTGGTATAATTGATTTCGATTTAAACATCTTTAATAGAAATTGACATGGAAACAATATCCATGCCTTGATTTTTAAGAATAACAATAGTTTTTTCTCTAGAATTTATCATCATACAATGTAGATCCAAGTGAGATATCAGTTTCCGGTTTATCTTCGGGTGCATACTCTGCTACACAGATACAAGTGGCAATTTCAGCTTCAATAAAAGGTGCCGGAATCATAGCTGGTGGTCCCTGTGACTGCGGAGCACACATGAATTACACAAGTTGTATGTTCACTAGTAGTCCATCCATTACTCAATCTATTTCAAATACAAAGTTGTGGAGTGGAAATAAAATTGATGATATAACAAATCTAGCAAAACACAAAGTTTATATGATCCGCGGAACATCTGATCCTTTAATTGGTGCTTCAGTAATGACTCAATTATATAAATACTATGTGACAGATGGTCCATTTATTTCAAGTGAAAATGTTGTGTTTAAAAATGATTTAAATGCTGCACATACATTTCCAATTGATTTTGATAGTATTGGTAATAATGATTGCGGATCAACAAGTAGTCCTTTTATTAGTAACTGTAATTTCGATGGAGCAGGAGTTATACTTGAACATATTTACGGACCTTTGAAGCCAAGAAATAATGGAGCGTTGAATGGAAAGTTTATTGAATTTAATCAACGGGAATTTTTAATGAATTCGAGTGCTTATGGAATGAGGGATACAGCATGGATTTATGTACCTAAAAATTGTTCTGATGGTGTCACTTGTAAATTGTATATCACCTATCATGGTTGTCAACAAAGTCACGAAAAAATTGGAGACAAATACATTAAAAATACAGGATATAACCGTTGGGCTGATACCAATAAAATTATTGTTTTATATCCACAAACCGTTCCTACAAATACAATAGATTCGACAGATAAAGAGTTAATTCCAAATGTAAATGGCTGTTGGGACTGGATTGGATGATATGGAAGTGACCTTGATGTTAAAAGTGGTAAACAATCGAGTGCTATGAAAAAAATGATGGACCGGATAACGAGTAGTTTCAATCCGATAGATCCGCCCACTGAGCTTCAGATTCTTGCTACCACATATAATTCAGTTTCTCTTTCATGGAGAAATGTTTCAAGCACAAACCGATATAATACATACAGAAATGGTAGTAAAACTAATAATGAAATCATAAGTGGTACGACATTTACAGATAATAATTTAAATTCTGGTACAACATACACATTTATTGTCAAAGCTATATTATTGACAGGTACAGCAATTATAGCTTCAAATTACGTTACTGCTAAAACAACAGATAATTCACCAGCTGTAACAATGCCGAATGGCTTAATAGCTACATATATTACTGGTAACTCAATTACTTTGAAATGGAACTCAGTTTTAGATGTTGCAACATATAATATTTATCGTAACGAAAATAAAGTAGCAAATGTTACACTCACATCATTTACCGATACATGTTTGAAACCTGCAACGAATTATCGATATCAAATTTCATCAGTAAAAGATTTAACTGAAAGTGAAAAATCGATTGAATTCAAAACTAGAACAGTTACTCTTAATGTATGCTTTAATGATAACAATTACAATCATGTAATTTTAGGAAGAGCTTATCACAGTATGAATTATGCACTACCTGTTGATACAAATGAAAACCGATGACTTTCTAATAAATTTCAAAGAACAAAAGAAAAAGATTGCGTTATTGAATAAGGGAAATCTTAATTCGAAACAAACAAGGAAGTTAAGATGAACATTCTAGCCTTATATATTAATGCAATTCATAAAATTATCTATTGCAATAATAAAATACCGCTTTTTCTGCGAAACAATATCTGAAAGAAGTGTCAAAGAATATTTGATAGAATTTCGGAGCACTGTTCATATTCTTCCACATACCCCCTAGCAGACAGTTTCAAGAGACTATTAAAAACTATATATGACTATGATTTAATTGACACATGTGAAATATTTCTTTGTTGAAGATGCATGTGATAAAGTAAGCAATGATGACAAAATATACAGCAATAGCTTTTTTTTACAAAAATACACGTTTTTAAGGGATTGCTAGCAATGAATATACCACGTTTTTTATATTTTAATCTTGAAAAGGAGCTCGTGAATGATTTTTCAACTGATCAAATGCTTTGAAAATCTGTCTCTTGACAAAAGAGAAGATTATCTAACGACATTATATTACAAAATCTGCAATACAAGTATATAAAAATTTTAATTTATTGGTAGAGATTACCTTCCATGAATACAGAAATATAACTAGACAATTCATTTCATTCAAAAAATACATGTTTGATCAAAGGTAAGAGACTAAGATTCATTTTATTCTATCTCCATGTCTGAATAATTAAATTTTGTATTCATATCGTATATGCAATTACTAAGGTGGCTACTATTATGTACGTGTAACAGAGGCGACATTTCTAGTCGAATAATCATTTGTTTTTGTTTTTCTTTTCTGTCTGATTGAGACAATTAGTGGAATGTGTGTGGTAAGGGTGTAGGATGTGGGTTTAAATATCTTTGTTCTCACCCACATTCTCTCTTCTCGCTACACACACAGACTAAGATCCATACTTGAACTACACACCCTTACGTCAGACATTAAGGGTGATTATTTACGGCCATCGCTTATTGGAACTATCAATCAGCAATAGTAAACGCTGGTCGTTTATGAACTTATTTATTAGTCACATAGCTGTGACACTTTGCCAATACTGATAGTATCGATTTAGGCACAGAACAATCGATCGTAGGAATATTCACGAAATTGTACAAGTTGAAATCTTTTTTACTTCATTGCAACAATCATTTATAATATAATCGGTGTGAATATATGATAAAAAAAATGTCAAAGAACAGCATGATCTATCAAATTGCTTGCTCAGATTCTTTTTTTATGCTCGCATATTTCTACATCGATCAATTATTTTGATGACTCAACAAATAGACAGAATACTTTGAAAGTGTTATTCAATATACGAATGTTTCATATATCTTTCCTTATTCATACTCAATTTTCAAAAAAGATATTTCCTCTATGAGAATCTGATAATGAATTAGCATGGAAAATATCTAATAGATTCTTTTATTTTCAAGATGTCAATCACATATTATTTGCATGTTTCGAAAATTGTTCTACCATTTTGAATAGAATTTCACCGATGCTGAGTATTTCATTGACCGAAATATGACATTATCGATTTACAGATGAATTTTTTTAAAGATCAATATTAGCACATGAAGTCTTATTATAGAAGACTGTATAAATATTAAATAGAAACTTTTATCAATCAAGCAGCTACTCAGTACTTTGAATTCGTAACTTAATAAATCGTTAGACAATAAAATTTCTTTATATTAAAAATCTTAACATGCTATCGAGATTCGAAATCGTTGTAGGAAACATGATTCTGTTGTTTTTTTTACATTCCAAGAACATTAGCTAATCCAATCAAATTATTGTTTTCATCATAATAATTATCTAAATAATGAAAATCAGATGAACTACTGTAAAGACATTTATATTGCTTAAACATTAGGAACTATTGGCCTCATTAAAAGTACTATTTAAATAAGTTTGAATATAATTCAATAGATACATTATCAATTAATATGAGCATTTAGAACTACTCTATTGGTGCCTCAATTGCTTTGCATATATAAAACAGCATCTACTACATTGAGAAAAGAGGTACAATAGGTAAAAATACGATAAATAAAAGTATTGTACATGTAATTTTACTTGAAAAAGTACGAAAATGCAAAGTAAGAATACTTTTATCTGTACTGCAACCGAGATTCTTACTGATTAAAACGATATACTTTCGTCTCTGTCTATATAATATTAACTTGAAAATCTTTCAACTTTTCAATCTTCTCTATATATCAAGACTATAATGAAACTTTTAGCCGAACGTTCTATATAAGTCTAACAATAACGTAGGTCACGTTAGCAGCGGATTCAAGTAATTCCGCAGCGATTCCCCTAAAAACACGGTCCAAGGTTCCTATTCTCGGTCCAAGCACAACTCGATGAGCTCTATCTAATGGCATAATTAGATTTTTCATAGCTCAAACTGAAGTCCCAAAAATCCAAAAATACTGATATTTCACTATAGGGCCTGGAAGAGCATAAAAGTAAAAGTAGCAGCGATTCGCCTAGGAACTTAGTCCAGCATTTATTTTCTCGGTACAAGTATATCCCGAGAATAGGAACGTTGGACCAAGTTCCTAGGCGAATCACTGCCGGAATTACTATGTGGATTGTATGAAAAATACAGTATTTTGAGATTTTTGGACATATGGTTTGTGCTATAGAAAATGTAATGGTGCCATTGGATAGAGCTCATCTAGTTGTATTTGAACCGATACTGGGAACGTTGAACCAAGTTCCTATGCAAATCGCTGCTACTTTTACTTTTATGCTCTTCCAGGTCCTATAGTGAAATATCGGTATTTTCGGATTTTTTGGACATTACTTTGAGCCATGAAAAATCTAATTATGTCATTAGATAGAGCTCATCGAGTTGTACTTGGACCGAGAATAGGAACCTCTGACCAAGTTTGTAGGTGAATCGCTGCCGGAATTACTCGAATTGGTTGCTAACTTCACCTACGTCAAAATTTCGGAATAGTTTCGATTATTTCAAGCATCAAAATTGTTCTCTTGTATTCATTTAAAATTTGGGTGTGAGTGTGGGTGTTCTCTCTATTACCTCACACACGTATAAACATCCGCACCCATCCACATCCTCTTTAGATACATGAGTTATCATGAAAGCAGCCATAACTTTAGCGGTAGTGTCAAACTTGAAACTTGAATTCAATTATTGAATACTTGAAGTTCAACTATTCAAGTATTCAAGGTGTAAGTGTGGCTGTGAGTCCTATATTCCACCAGTTCCTTCGCCGCACCCACACCTGGGATCGTGATGTGTGTGTCTGTGGGTGTAAGTCCTTTCAATTGAATACTTGAAACAAGTTTTCAATAATTTAATTCAAGTTTCAAGTTTGACATATATGTCAAATCCATGACAGTTCCAAGGGATCTAATTGAAAGTTACGTGATATGCTGAATTTCTTGAATTTCTTAAATTTTCTTGAATTGTCAATTTTTGGATCGTAGGTACTGCTACTATCTTGCTAACGATTACTTTTACCTCCGGTGGCACAAAAAAGGTAGGTTATCATTTGCCACAAATCTGGTTCCCTGAATTCATCCCTAAATGAAATCCACATTGCGGATAATTATTCAATTAACGTCTAGACTGGTGACCAAACAGGGATTTTAATTTAGGGATTTTTTTTCATATAGTACGCGCAAGGTCATAATGTAATTCAATATCGTCTTACTTCAACCGTGCTAGAAAACTTGACTTATGAAAAACAGGTACTTCAGCGAAGATTTTTCTATCTTTGAAACTATTCTGGTCACCAGAATTGTGTTGTGCTCATTCTCTGTTAAAAATAAGAAAAAACTTGAATTTAAATGTATTTGGAAGCAAATACAGAGAATGAGCACAACAAAATTCTGGTGACCAGAATTTTTTTACAGACAGAAAAATCTTCGCTGAAGTACCCAGTCTTCATGCTACTTTAACAAAAACTCTTCTGTCTGTAGATCTATTCTGGTCTCCAGAATTACGTTGTACTCATTCTCTACTAGAAACAGGAGAAGAAAAATGAATTTAAATGTAATATGCAAGCGAGTACAGAAACTGAATATAACACAATTCTAGTGACCAGAGTAGTTTCACAGATAGAAAAATCTTCGCTGAAGTACCTGTTTTTCATAAGTCAAGTTTTCTAGCACGGTTGAAGTAAGACGATATTGAATTACATTATGACCTTGCACGTACTATATGAAAAAAATCCCTAAATTAAAATCCCTATTTGGTCACCAGTCTAGACGTTAATTGAATAATTATCCACAATGTGGAGTTCATTTAGGGATGAATTCAGGGAACCAGATTTGTGGCAAATGATAGACATTCCACAAAAAAAATATTATTGTTAGCAACTTGTCCAATCCATCATGTTACACAATTTTTGACAATGATTCCTAAAATCATTTTGGAATTCCGAAGAACTTAGCTTTTAATCTGATTTCAAGTTCCTGAACTAGAAATTAGGTGTGATTTTGGAGGATAGAAACACTTACACACACATCCAATGAAACTGTTTCAATTAGATAAAAAGTATAGACATCTTGTATTTATTTTATTTTGCAATCGTGGATCTATTCACATTAAAAATATATCTTATCTAAGTCTTAGTCTATTGTTTGTACGGTGATCGTCAGAGTTCGTCAGAAACATAGTTCTAGCAATGCATGAATCAATGTTCAGGTTTTCCGTTTTCTAGTGGTCAAAACATTGAGCTGAGCTTGTAGAGTGAATAGTGTCTTTGTGGCAACTGTTTTGAAATTTATTCGGCTCGTGAAGTTCGACTTCGACTTCACCTATGATATTGGCTTGATCCGTAGCTTGGACAAACCTGTACCGAGCCTCTAATGAGAACTTTGACCTTAGATATAGATCCTTACAAAGCCCATGATCTCTCGTCGACACATTGGACACAATCGCAATGAATGTCCAAAAGCTACACGCTTAGAGAAATGACTGCATGGAATACAGGTGATACCTATTTCTTCCGACGAGCAGAGAACACACAGATTCGATGTCGATAAATGGTCATCGGATTCTGGTGTTTGTATAACTGATGCTGCTAATGTGTTTTTCGTGTTCATTTCTTCGTTTTTATTATTCAATGAACTCCATGTTATTGATTTGTTAGCAAGTGATTGGCACTATGTACATTTTTCGAGGGCGTAGGTGTGGACGTGGGCGAGATTGTAGAGTCGACCAACACACCCACATCCAATGATCATCAATTCAAAAATGAAATAAAACAATTTAATTCGATTATTACCCAAGTCAAAGAAGTACGGCAGAAAACGACCGTATCTCTCGAAATTCCGTCAATTTCCGGCGTGTGGGCATCGGGTATAGGTGTGGATGCGGGAGTGAGAGTGGGTTTGTGTGATTTGTGGGCTATCGGAGTAAGTATGGGTGTGTGGGTGGGATTGCGGATGTGAGTGTGGATCTGTGTGGAGTATGAATGTGGATGCGAATAGAATAAAGACTGACACTCACAACCTAGTTTAATAGATATTTATCTAATAAAACACGCCCAGATTAACAAGAGATTCAGACTATTGAAGTTTTGTGGAACTCACATATATTTTCGAAGAAAATAGTGAGTGTAAGTTTTAAGTTCGAGTTTTCGCGGCTCCCCCCCCCTCCCCTTACAGACAGCTCCCCTTACAGACAATAGTAACGAAAGAGAGCATTGCATATACATATCCCCCCTTTACAGACCATAGCAACGAAAAAGAGAATATTACATATAGCTCCCCTCCATTACAGACCATAGAAGCGTAGGTTCCCATTACAGGTAGGTCCCCATTGTAGAGACCCCACATTATGAACACCAGTCATTACAGACCGTAGCAACGCAGCTCGCGTGATAATAGAGTTAAACAACTGAAATAAAAGTCATCCATTAAGTTTTGATACGATGTACAGGTATACATCAATCATTTTACTTTTAGTCTCAATTGTAGTTACAGAAGGAAAATAAGAGGTTTGTACAGCAAACGATATTGGTTCAAATGATAAGATGAAAGACAGTCAGAAGGAGGTGACAGTATTTAAAGTGAAGCTACTCATATACAGTCAATAGTATTATAAATAAATATTTATTGTATGAAAGTGAACTTATCAATATGTAATTTGATAATCGCAAATAAGTATGAATTCTTATTCTTTGAATAATACATAAATTGATTCATAAAAAAAAAGAATTTAATTAGATTGTAATTTCTTTTTTACGTGTTCATATTAATGGAAGTGGTAATGTGTATACTTAGACATTCTGATAAAAAAAACATGTTGTTATATAAGTATTAGTTTGAGTAACTAAAAAGTAGTTTTAAATAATAAAAAGACAAAATAGTTCATGTTGTTATTCCGGTCTACTTATATATGAACTGATAATAATCAGAAATGTTTCATAATTGCCATGCGACAAAAGTCAGTGAGGATGTTTCATTACTTTTTATTCAGTAAAGTTTTTGTCTTTGGAATATTTATAATCGTACATATACCAGTTATTAACTATTCATGTGTTGTGTTTAGATATAATTACGAAATACGTTGATCATTATTTGAAATAATATTCAATATTGAATTAAAAAAAAAATTCAAAGTATTGTAATGATAAATTTGTATAATTTTGTTATATAACTTCGGAGTCGAATTAATAATCAACCTTTATTACCATGGTCAGAGTAATGGCGAAAAGAAAAATATATTCTGTGTTGAAAATATTTTCATACACAAATATTAGAACGTTTCTAAATTGACAAAATGTTAAATATAATAAATGAATTTATATTATATTACTATTTATAATTTAAAATATATTGAAAATAGTTAAATTATATAGTGCACATTTGTTAAATATAAAAATTGGTAAGATTTCATTATGTTTGATTGGAGATTTCTCATTAAATAAAACATTTATTATCATGAAAAAACAATCATTTAAGATAACAAAAAAAAAGAACTTAATTTCATTTAAAAAGAAATGCGAGTCTTTACGAAATCAAAATTAGTGCTATTAGAAAAGATAATAATAAAAATAATAATTATTGTTTTTTTTTCTTTAATGAAGGATCAAAGATATGTACACAACGATAGTTATGTCAAAATGTGTATCATATACACATCCTAGAATTCAATAATAAGATATGTAAATAAAATAGTGATTATTTCTGTAATAATTCAAAATTTAAAAAAATAAATAAAGAATTAGTAATACCAGGTATTTGACATCATGTAGAATCGACAGAAAATATTCAAAAACATGACTAATCGATTATGTAATGTGAAACTTCAAGTTTGTGAAAATTGACGTCCGATAATATTGATTTTGATAGAATAATAGTTTTGAAAAATATACAAAAAATTTAAAAATAGAATTATTGTGAGTAATACAAATGTTTTAGAAGAACATATTCGGTGTGTATCGTATTTCAATCAAATGAAAGTTGATGATATTTGTCATATATAAAGATTAATAGTTGTTTATCTTTATTTGAAATATGATTATTATTAAATGCAGTAGATTGTATCAATTGTTTTAAAGTTATAATAGAAATAAAAATTCTCTATATTTTTTTCGACATGATTGTAAAAATTAACAACTTGGTATTGTTAAATCAAAGATTAATTGTTTAGTTATGAGATGGCGCATTTAGACAAAATGAGATAATTCGAATGTATATAAAGCAAGAACAGCACCAATCAAGACAAGTTTATGAATATTATCGTATATCAAGCAAAGTTTACTCAATTATATATGTCATTGTACTAGAATATAGTCTAATATGTCAACAAATTTTTTATTGAATATAATAATTGTAATGACTAATACTAAATAGTATGGCTGTTGGGTCTCTAAAATAGTAATCATATTATTGTTAACGTTGATTAATAAATCATATCCTTATATTACCTAGATTTTAAATGAAGAAATTTGTATCAATGAATCAAAGGATTCATTATTGGATTTACGATTCAATTACAATACTCCGATAGGTTCTCGATACAGATTCGTTTAACAATAAGTTCAGACAATAAATTTATGTAATAAATCTATTTACGTCCAATTGTGTCAAATTTTTCTATAAATAAAAAAAATGTATATGCTCAATTATCATAATATCTTTTTGAAACATTAAAATACTTATGTACTTCATATGAATTTGGCGAAATATTCTTATGATAAGAAAATTAACGATTGCATGCATCACAATTTAAATATTGTTTGTGTGAATTGATGACATATGAATTATTAAGTATGCGTCGTTAAATAAAAAAGAACAATCATTATTTCATAAATATTTATTGTAAAAAATATTTATGCAATAAAATATAATTAAGTATATAAAATAAGAATATATTGTTCACATGCTGAACTTAAATATTTATGCGATTTAAATCGACTTCGTAGAAGATTAAAGTATTACTATCTTTTATACTTATTAACAACAATTTTACATATATTGAAATATTCTTAATCAAAAAATAAAATTTGTGCTCTCATTAACAGTTAATGCAAGCTCATCTGCCACACATGTTGGTAATGGATGTATCGACGAAAGTAATGATTCGTATGAAATAGTTTCCATTTTTAGCATATCACCTCGCAGAAGTACATATATTGAACTATCACATTCATATAAATATTTAAAATAATCATTAATACGATGGCGTGGTATCGTTTTATGTATGTTAGGTGTTAGAGAATCAATAATAAAAAAATAATCAGGGGTACTATCGAATCGCCGAACACAGAAGTAATGATCGTGTTGATGAACAAATAAAGCTTGCACATCATGAATATGATTTCTAATCAAGTCACGATGCAAGTATGATGTTTCATCTTTTTCTTGCAATTGTAGAAGTTCAATATTATATTGTTGTTGAAGAGCTTTTTGAATAACTTGAATGTGATAATAGCCAGTAATATAATTGAAATAATATTGTCTAACTGTAGTTGCACATGGACGAAGTATAAGTTCTTGTGTTGCAAGTTCTTGTGTTAAACTAATTAAATATGTATCATCAAATATTTGCCTATCTTGTACAAGAGCTCGAAGAGCATGACCACCACAATATAAAAGACGCTGTTTTTCACAAATTATTACATCCTCAGGTTTAATGATATCATCAACCATATTGGTATCATCATCAACATTGGTAGCATCATTTATATTAATATTGTTTATAACTTTCAAACGTTTATTAGTATGTTTCGAATTATTTCGCGATCTTTTATTCTTTTTTTCTGTATTATTGATATTAGATGTATAACTAAGGTTTGGATCAGGAATACTATGCTGAATATGAAATGATAAAGTATAGTTTTCAGCTTAAAATGTGATTTACTGACTGCTTCGTTTAAATAGTCATCGAATTTAATTGGATTCTCTCTTTCAATTCTCTGTAAACGTTCAATCTCCTTTAAACCATCTATAGAAATCTAAAAATGTGCATATATATAATATTCAAATAAATTTTAGTTAAAATTGTATACATTAAAAGATTTTCGATCGTATGCTAGTATTATAATATCTGTAATATGACGCGTTCTGCTAAGTACTGTGTAGAACATACCAGGTTTCCAATATTTACCACCAAGATCAATAACTAATTTTGAATATGTCATACATTGAGTTCTATGTATGGTTATTGCATAACCAAGTGCAAGTGGCAATTGTACTCGAGTCATGCTGATATTGTTCATGTCATTAAATCGAGTTTCCTCAGGTTCTAATTTATATGTTTGACCATTGAATAATTCTAAATATTGATTTCTAATAACAATATGTCATTTTCTAAAGTTTGATAGTGTTACCGAGTTCTACATATTTCGATAGTTTTGCATTAATAACATTTGATAATCCAGAAAATATGTCTTCGGACTCTGCTGGTGGTAAAAGAAAATCCGTAGAATTTTTCCAAACTATGTTTTTTATTATGGTATCACTTCCATTAATAACGGAGTTATCTTGATCGATGTTGCGTCTAATAATAACGCGTGCGCCGATACAAATAGGTAGTCGACGGTACAGTGAACCACATTTATTTTCATCAGGTGATGGTTTAAGATTAATTTTGCAAGTTCTATTATTTGTTTTACTAGAGTTGAAGAAAGACGTATTAATCATGGCTACTCTCTATTTAATGAACATATTCCAATTTCAGATTGATATAATACTAAAAATTAATCTTATATCTACAGTATTAATCATAAAAATAGGATTTTTTGAATCAGATGCATGCTTTTTTAATTTTTCTAGATTTCTTAAATTTGTCAATTTTCGAACTCCATACGCATGAACAGCATCTTGAAAATCAGGTGAATTTAACTCTTTCAATCGTTCTTGATAGCTTTCAGGATTGTCTTGTTGACGTATACTTCTTGATTTTATTAGATATTCTGTGTCTTCATCTAAACCACCTATATCATGTATATTATTTCTATTTAGAGTATTACAATAAAATATTAGGTACCCATTCGCAGTCGACACAAACAATCAAAGAAGAGCCGATCATCTCCTTGTCTCATATTAATATCAAAGTTTATAGGTCTGAATAAGTCATGCCATAAAGAAAATAATTCACCTAATGGACGATAGAATGCTTGTTTAGCTGCGACAGGTTCAATCTGAGCCATGTCACCGAATACGATAACAGGAATACCACCAAAATAAACATCGCATTTATCAAGTGTACGAAATATTTCGTTTAAACGTTTATTAATTTTTTGAAATAATGCATGTGAAACAAGCGAAATTTCATCTCTAATTATCAACAATAATCCATTGAGTTTGTTTCTTAGGGTATGAAATTTAAAAGAATTTAATTTGTTTGGTGATGAACTTCCGTCTGGACACTGAAAGAGCAAAACGTTGTATCATGTAATGATAATAGGAACGTATGCTTACAATTTCAAGAGCCGAATGTATAGTAGAACCATGAATATTCAACGCTGCTTTTCCTGTATGAGCCATTTTAAGTAAACCAAAATTTTTACGAGGACGCGAAACTCCAGCAAATTCAGCAATGCAATATTCATTAAGCATTTTTTCAATTATAGAAATAACATAAGATTTACCAGATCCTACCAGACCATTGACAGCAATATGAAATGGTTTCGGCTTTTGTACATGTGTTGATCGCCTAGAGTGCATCAACAAGTGATTCAAATATGTTTGAATAAAATCAAGAAGATATTTCTGTTGAGGATTAGCTGTATTTCTCAAATCTGATAATGCTTGAAACGATATGCAAGTGCTAATATCGAAATTTGTAAACGGGTTGTTGTCAGCTATTATAAATGCTTGTGTAAGATCATTATCTGTTGATGGTTTATTAATTGTATCATCTTCATGTTCGATTGGATTTGTAAATATATAGGATTCTCGATGGTTAATTTTAAAATTTTCTTTATCAATATTGATTAAATGATCTAGTAGATTTTTTAGTTGAATACGATACGTTTGAGGTAATGTTAAAATACGAGTAGAAATTTCTATTTTTTGTTGTAGAAGTACTTGATTTAGATCATATATTTCTGGTTCTAAGAGAAAACTTAAAAATGAACCGCTTAAATTAAAAAGAACATTTCAAACCTTGTTTACCACCTAAAAATTCACCCACTGAATTTCGAAAGGGAATATTTAAGCATAATAGAGTATAAATAGACTGTGCAGTGTCATCATGAAGACAAGTGAATGTCACACATTTAGGATTTTCGTGTTGACGCATTTTTTGACCAGATGCTAGTATAATACGTGGAAGTCGTCTTGAAGTTTTCAATAATGGTGGTTGATCATAGTTGGTACGCCATAATGGATTTGGTATTAGTGCATTGTTATCAATATCTTCACATGTCGAATCAGTATAATCAGTTGTGAACCATACTGCAAATTCAAATAAAGTAAGATCATTAATCACCTCTGGTACCGAAGGTCGTTGCGAATATCGATGAAGTATTGTTGTAACAAAATCATCTTCAGTAATTGATTCTATATTTACATTTGGGTTTTTTAATATACGATCTTCATGGGACGGCAGAGATATGTATAAGTGAACTGTGGCCATTGAACACCGATACAATGGAATACCTTTTTATTTTATAAATGATTAAGAAACCCTGCAAAGATCTACTTACCTAAAATTAGTCAAGCAGCTTCAATTTTTCCAATCTGTCTATGTGATAAAACAGAATTGCCAGCTTTTAGTAAAACTTTTCTCGCCTCTTCAAGAGTTGACCATTCACATCCAGCCAACTTTTGTACGAGATCCTTTTCCATATGAGCCTCTTTACTAATACAAGAAAAAAGATACTCAGCTGCCGCCCATGCATCAGTTACAATTTGCATATCGTGATTACATTTAAATGTTTTAAGTAAATTGATATTATATGGAACAATACGACGTGACTAACAATACAGAAAGTTAGGTATATCTTAGTAAATAGGTAATACAAAAAAA